TAAGGCCACCTGAAATCCAAGAATCTTCCTAAATTTCTCATCTTTCTTAGTAGCCTTCAATTCTTACTTAAAGTAAGCTCTGTGAGTTAAAAGGACTCATTTTCCCTGAAATTAGGCATGTTTTCAGTGTAGAGAGTAAACTGAGTGGGAGCTGAGTTCCACACCGACCTGCAGCAGCCTGAGGCCTTCTCGTCAGACACCGCCACTGAGATGTGGTGGGATCCTTGCCTCAGCTGCAGAAAAGAATTTCAGGAAGAGTCAGAGTGAAACAGATGTAAATTTATTGGTAATTGATTTTAAACCTATATTTACACGTGGGTGGTAATAGAATATGTGCTCAGGGAAAAGATGGTATTCCCAGTATGTGAAGTGTGAGCTTCCCTGGAGTGTGGAGCTTAAGTCTCTTGGCATAGCAACATGTGTGTGCATGCGTGTGTTTGTGCATGCATGCATGTAATTATATACATGGGAAATCACAGCATGGTTTAAAGAAAGTTTATATTCTTGTTTGCTAAATTCCCAGGAAAATGCAGGTTTAGATCTTGAAAAGGAATTAAGCCACATTCAAGTGCTTTCAGCCTTAAGCATGGTTCATTGATAGTCTCATTTGAAATATCTCTATAAAAATAATATTACTATATAGATGATCCCTAAGACAATTTTGTTAATTTTGCTGGAACCTTTGACTTGTAGCAGGTAAGAGAGTTTAAGTGACCCCAGAGACCAGAGCCCCATTCTTCTCACATCTCCCTAACTTGTCTGTCTTGCCTTAGAATCTTAGGCTTTCATTTTAACACTTTAGTTAAAACTTAAGGCAAACACGTGAACTGTCTGTTTTATTAGGGAGAGGAAGATGTTGAGACCAGTTTGATCATGCTGGGTACAGCTTAGCAAATTTGAGAGCAACAGGGCTACCTCGTTGAACCCTTGCCTATAAATAAATAAATAAGTCAATAAGTCAATAAATAAATAAAAACTTCTTAACTGTTTCAGTGAAAGTAATGTTATCACAGTTGCTCCCATTTTAATGGGATTCCAGTAGCAACTACCTTCAAACAATGTACACGTAACACTAAAGCAATGGTTCTCAACCTGTGAGTCTCGACCTGATATTATGCATGTCAGATATTTATATTGTGATTCATAATATAAATTATGAATTACAGTGAAGAAGTAGCAATGAAATAATTTTATGGTTGGGGGTCACCACAGCATGAAAAGGGGTCACAGCATTAGGAAGGTTGAGAACCACTGCAAAAGAATACTCTTTTGCTACACATTTGAGACTGTGCAATCTGCTTGCTCTATGAATCTGTTTCAAAGAGTCAATGGATAAAACTTTTAGCCTGGGATAAATCCTGCTTGTTTTGTTTTTTGTTCATCCTTGGTTATTGACGCACTGTTCACAATATGTAACTTGGACTAAATTTTTCACTGATCTCTTGCTAAGCTGATTTAGAAAGTAGAACCAGAGATTGGTATACAGATGAACTAAAACTGAAGTAATGAAATGAAAATTAGCACTGAGTTTACATGCCGGTGGGTGAGCTCTTAAGAAATTTAGGGGATATTACTTCTCTCGGCTTTATAAATTATATTTTTTAAGTTATCGATGGTAGAAAATGTGGCTTAATTTTCTGTTTTTCCCAATACCTCTTTACATTGTAGGGACTCAGTAAGCCCTTGTTGAATGACTGTGTTTAATATTTGCCATTACAATATTTTGGATGTCCTAGTAATTTCTGCCATTCTAATCCATGTAGCATGTGGAAGTGAAATACTTATTTTGGGATGATACTAGTTTGGGTTATACCCTTTTTACCCGCTTTGTGGTTCCAGGACGTCTCACATAGTGTGCAAGCACTCTGCCCCTGGGCTACCCTTCCAGTCTTACCCTTCCAGTCTCTGAAATGTTCCTCTCCCAAGACACTGCCTAATGGATTTCTTTAGCATTTGCTTGTCTTTAGTAGTGCCAGTAAGGCCCTGACTAGCTTATTATGCACTTGGTAGAAAAGCAGAAGCAAAGAGGGAAGTGGAAGGGAAAGAAACAGAACAGAAAATGCACAGATTTGGGGAATAGAGCATGTCACTAGCATCTGTGTCACAAAGTCAGTGGCGTGTTGATGGCAGTTGTCCACATGTTTATTAAGGAAGTTTTTTATTTAAAAGGGAGAAATTCAAAAGGTGGCATTAATATATATATTTTTTTTTGGGGGGGGGGGTTTCGAGATTGGGTTTCTCTGTGTAGCTCTGGCTGTCCTGGAAATCATTCTGTAGACCAGGCTGGCCTCGAACTCAGAAATCTGCCTGCCTCTGCCTCCCAAGTGCTGGGATTAAAGGCGTGCGCCACCACCACCCGGCTAAAAACATTTTTATCTGTTTACTGTGATGATTAATAATAGAACTGAACATTTCTCAGCACAGAGTTTTAATGTATGCAGCATTATTTTTAACCCTTATGTAAACTGGTGAGGTGGGTATGATTGTTTTGATTTTGCAGGCAGGAAGATAGTGGCATGGAGGTTAAATGGATAGTGCTAAATCACGTAGGTGAATAGCAGATTTCTGATAAAAAAAAAAAACGTACTTCCTTTCCATCCTTCCATAAATATTATTGTAAGAAAATCAGGATAAGTGGGCTAGCCTGAGGCTCAGGAGTAGGACACTCACCTAGCAGCCATGTATCCTGTACTCATCTCTAGTGAGAAAGAGGGAGGATGGAAGGAGGGAGAGGGAGGGGCAGGGAAGGAATGAGTTACAAAAATTAACATAAGAGTCCATTAAACAAATCAGGACTGATGCTACATATTTGTTCAGTGTCACAGTAACATGAAGTAGGAGACGGTGAACGTAACAGAAGTGGGACTTGACAGAGAGCAGCACACAGGGCACAGCACTAGTGAAGAGATCAGCTCAGATGGATTACCTAGTTCTGACAGTCTGTGATTGATCCCTTGCACCTTTTATCTTTCTATATATAACAACACAGCAGTAACTTACACAGTGAAGAATAAGAACAACGATTGCTTTTACAGCTCACAATGTATTTCATTTTATGTAGTTCTTTGCATTGTATAGTGAAATATACCTATACAAAAGTGCATTAAATGCACACACATTCACTAATACATACTAGAGTTATAGAGCAAATATCTCTGTGACAACAATTAGATTGAAGAAGATGAACACTTCCAGTGCCATATAAGATCTCCTGTCTTTCCTGTTACAACTCTCCTATCATCCCTCTAGCATGTTCTCTCAGCATCAGAAGTGATGCTGTTTCGCCCAGATAATTTCATGCATTATAAGATGTTTTAGTATCTTGCTTATCTCTGTCCTTGATATGTCAGTTAAAGACATCCTCCGCCAAATTATACCAACTAATTGCATGATGTCAAATTCCTTCTATATTCCTCTGTTCTACATCCCTTTGAGGGAGAATAAACTGTAGGGCTGGGATAATAGCAGAGAGATCAGCTCATCTGTTGGAGTTCTTTACCCCGTTTCATTAAATATTGTCTGGGGAACCTGATTGAAGAAAGAGATGTAGCTGAGGCCTTTATAATCTTTTCTGAACTAGAGAAATTGTTTTAGGTTCCATATGCTGCTGTTATTGAAATATGGTCTTTTATTTTAGGTAGTTTTAATTGTACCGGTGATGTTTTTCAATAAAATTAGAGTAAGTAAGCAAAACAAAGCATATTTCAACAAGTGAGCTAGTCTAGAGTTTATCAGTATAGTACCATTTGGTTTATATTGTAATGCCTACGAGAGATTCCCAGAATTCTAACATAATAAAAATTCTGATCCCATAGATGAATAAAACATTATACACTCTCCCCTTAACCTCCTCACAGCCCTGTTTTCAACAGTTTCTGTTAAACCATGAGTATCCAAGGATGAGAATATAATACTTTTAAAACATTTTAAAGTAAAATTTCATATATATCACTAATAATAAAAAAAATAGTACATCCTCAAAACAAGAAAACAGTTGTAATGGTAAGGAATGGAGATGCTGTGCTTCTGGATTTCAGTGAAAGAAGAGCCAGTAAGAGTCCAAATGGCTTAATGCTGAGTGTGAGAAAAGACACTGATAAGACAAGCAGAAGGACCGAGAGTCCACCAGTTGAAGAAGGAAAACAGTATGCATGTGGTTTGCGTTTTTTGGTTTGGAGGAAGAAAGTCAAGTTTGGAACATGCTAAGTTTGAGTTGTATAATTCTATCTAGGTAAAGATGCTGAGTAGCTAGTTGACTATGAAGGTGCTTTCAGGAGAGATGTTTGACTACTAGAAACTTTCCTGTAGACGTTGGCATCCTTAAATCTTGTGAACTTTCTGTAGTTGAAGCTCTTTGTCTTCATACCCCCTAATGTGAAAGCCACTAGCCACAGTGTTAAGGACACTTAGCTCCCTTGTGAGAGAGTGAGGCATATTTACTTCCTTGTACTGTGCTCTGAGGGGAAACTCTTACAGTTTTTACTTTAGGTGGACCTTGGTCTCTGTTTCCCTAAGTCTGGATGGAGGCTTTGAAGACAGCAGCTCAAATTCTGAATCAGCAGCTGTTCCCTGCAGTCATTTTAATGTTTCTTTTCTTTGCTGCCAGCTTACCTGATTTCATTCCCTCTTTTTTTAAGCTTTCCAAAAAGATTTTTAAAATATTCTATACCAGGATTGGGTCCAAGTAACCAAATCTGTATATTCTTGGAAATGAATTGTCTCATTTATTGTCCTTTAGGCTGAAAGATAAGAAATTCCAAGTTAGTAATAATATTTCTGATAAATGTCATATACCTCACTTAAGTCCTGATGGCTTTACACCTATAATCCCAGGTCTGCTTAAGAGTTGGAGACCAACCTGGGTAACAGTGAGCCATCTTTAAAAATGATACCAGCAGCAAATTCTTGTACTTCTTTATTTTGCTTGCATGCAAATATATATTAAAAATAGCAAAATGTTTTTAAGATTAAACTAAATTACCTTCTTCTGGTTTATATAGGACTGAATTCCCCAGTGCCTGGAATCTGAGAAAAATATGGCTAGTGCGGGCAGTGATTCTAGGCATCTTATCTCTGAGGTAGAACATGAAGTACATCCTGGACCTTTGAATATCCAGTTTGATTCATCAGATCTAAGATCTAAAAGGTAAGGTCTTAATGTGTTTACTTCATAATTAGGGCTTCTAACAATTAAGATATAATACAATACAGCCCCAAAGATCAACAGAATTGATAATAAAATACTCATTTTCTTATAGAATTTATATTCTGATCTATGTGCATATGGTGATATGAATCCTGTTTCCTCACACATTTTTTTTGTCTTGGAATAAACATGTCTGTTAAGGAAAGGGTTGAGTTTTATCAAGTAGGATGCATTTGTGTAAATGACTCAGATACCTGTTGATTATCCATTTCATGCAAAATAATCCGATGCTAAAGACAGAAAAGGAATAGGCTTTTACCTTCACTGAATTTCAATGTCAGCAGATAATTTAAAATAATTTGAGATTAAATAATCTTTCAGTTTATAACTGGAACCCTCAAGAGAATCTCCTTTAAAAACAAGTACTAGTAAGTGAGTTCAATAAAATAGTTACTGGGTAGAAAGATGCTGCAGTAAGATGCTTGGTGTGCAAGCATGAGGACTGAAGGCTGCATCCCAGCAACCATATAAGCTAGATGTGAGCCCAGGACTCATCTTTAAACACAGTGATGTAGTGAGTAGAGACAGGAGGATCGCCACGACTTGCTGGCTGTCAGTCTGATTTAAGAAAAAAACAAAGCAAAACAAAAAACAGATTAAGAAAGAGACCCTGCCCCTTAGAAATAAGATAGAAGATAATTGCCTTCCTCTGACCTCAGTGTATGTACATACTTGTGGGCACACATACACAAAGTGGTTGATTCCTAGCACATACATACATGATGGCTCACAACTGTCTGTAATTCCAGTCCCAGGAGATCTGATACCTTCTTCTGTCCTCCCTCAACAATAGCCATGCACATGGTGCACACACATTCTTGCAGACAAAGCACCCAAACACATAGACAGATCATTTCAAAAAAACTCAACACACAGCACACATGCATGCACGGATACCCACTGTGTCCGTGTGTATTATACATGTAAAATAATGGACTTAGAATTTTTCTTTGTTTTCACTGAAAGAACACTTCACCATATGTGTTATTTCTCATTTGTCTTTTATGGAACTATAAAAGTTTATCATAGAAACGAAGTGTGTTGGTTAAGACATTATTAACACCTCACACTTAGAAAACCTGACTCTTCTGGATAACTTTTTGATTTAGCCATCAGACAGGTTGTGTGTCCCTTCTGTGTGGACAATTGTCCTTTGGCCATAAAAAGAGTGGGTGACTTTGATGATGCAGCCTTCCTTGGTTTTCTCCAGCAGCACTGAGGATGCTTGCAGGTTCCTGTCCTTGCACTGTCCTGTCTCACTAGATGGTGTCATGAGAGGTCTTTTCACTTACAGTTCCCGTTCCTTCCTGAAATGGTTCTTCAGTGGTTTGACTAAGGTGGCCTGGGATGGCAGTTACTTGACAGCACACCACCAGAAGTAGCCATCACACCACCACCCAGCTGACAGTAATTCCGACACTAGGTGTTAAAGATTATAAGATGTCCTCATTTAGAAATATTTAAATGTATATATTAGAAAAGAATGTTATCAGTAAGATATGACAGTCACTGTCTATTTCAGGCAAGAAGAATAAAATTGTTATCCAGGGGGATTAAATCCAGGGGAGAGGTTCTGTCAGTGAAGTATTTGTCACACAAACTTGAGCACCTGAATTTGGGCCCCAGCACCCATATAAAATCCAGGAGCTATGGTGTGTACCTGTAATCACCATACTAGGATGGCAGGGACTTCTGGAGAGCATTGGCTAGCTAGCCCAGCCAAATTGATGAGCTCCAGGCTAGTGAGAGACAATCTGAATAAATAAGTATGCCAGTAAATAAATGAGAGAGAGAGAAGCAGTTCAAGTAGATACCTAATCTTGACCTCTAGTCTTTTCATACGTGTGCTCACATAGGCATACACACACAGATGTGTGCCCAGAAAAAAAAGAAGAATTTAACCCACAAGTTGCATGTGGTCCTACACCCAAATCCCAGCAGCCAACTCTGAAGTTTCTGTGTATCAGTAATCTCACTGCCACACACACACTGCTTTACTGTGTCAAACGGTACATGCACGGGGTCGGATAAATTGCTAACACTGAAAGCAACTAAAATGTGTTTTCTTCCAGGACTGAAAACTAAATTATGGCTTATTCATACAATGGGATTTTTTTCATCTAATACAAAGGAGGTGGGCTTATGATATATCAAAATGGAGCAACTTTTTGAGTTATTTTGTTAAAAGAAAAAAGTGAGATGCAGAGCAGTATCTCTAGTCTGCCACCATGCATGGAAAGTCAGTCACTACATCATAGACCGTACAGTGTGTGTAGACGCAGTCTGCAGAAGGCTTAGATGGCTGAGAGGAACTGCACAGCTGAGTAAGGGAGCCTGGTGCATAGTGTTCATAGATACTCAGCACCTAGTCAGTGACCACCCTCGTTCCTATCAGCAGAATGTTAGTCTAGTTAAAAGCTGCAGCTATTTCTAGCACAGGAGATAAGAAAGATTACAATGAGCTGATTCTGGCGATATTGTTAAGATACTTGATTTTTTTCAGTTTTTCTTGTAGCTAAAACTAGTAGTGTGAAATTCATCCCTGAAGACGTTGCCATTAACAGTGGCTATCAGAAGAAACAGAGAAATTGATAATTGTGATTCTCACTGGTATGATCCAGTATTAGTGAATGTATGCACTTACAAATGCTGACTGAGTGCTTAGAGTTTTCTTGAAACTTCTAAGTTCTGTGATAAATAATTGACCACTGTGACAATAAGACATAGGTCATTAAAGTGCATTCCATTATGATAAGTTGGCAGGAGTTCAGTTCCTTGAAATTTTAATCTAACAGGGCATATTAAATGGAAATACATTTTCTATAATGAAACTTGTGAAAGGATGGAATCGCTGTTTTCAATCCTGGTGTAACTGGTAAGCACGTATGAAGGAGAGCAACCACTTGTAAGAACTTAGCAGGCCTCATTGCTTCTGCTTGTGGGATAATCTCTGCTGGAGAAAGCAGAGACTTTTTGATGAGAAAAAGTATGTGAGTACTTTGAAACACTCTTTCCTTTGAGAGATAGATTCTCTCACTTTACATATAAATAAAACCCAGACACACAGTGTCTTCCAGCAGAAGATCCAACTTAGACAACTAGTACCACGCTTCAGTTCTGTGCATCACTGTGCTCTGGTGCCACCCTTGTACGTGTATATAGTATAATTTGATGTTTCTTATCAGTTTGCTTGCCTTTCCAACTCTGAGTTCATTTAGCTCCATCTCAAATTTGTGACATGAGGACTTTAGAGCGCTTATTCTTTTCTAATTTACATTGCCACATATACCAGCTAGTTAGCGGTCATGATTGTGGTGTCAAGGATCATTCTACATTTGGGAAACTGTGACTGTGGGGTGATGGGGAACAACATTCCATGGTTGAATATTACTTAGCCTACTGTTAGCTTATGTTATTTTTCTCTCTCCCACTAGGTGGCAGTCGAATCTTAAATTAGCTCCAATAAAAGTATTTTAACTGGAATAGACGAAAGGGTTGCAGGCTTGTTGTTTTTTGGATTGTTTGTTTGTTTGTTTGTTTTGTTTTTTTGTGAAGTAGAGTCTGAAACAGGTAGAGGAAGGCTTTGGTGTTGTAAGATGCATTCCATAGGCATGTGAATCATTTAGGCACTTTATAAAAAAATACGGCCCCTTTGTTTTCAGCACGCCTCCCTCCGATGCTATTTTGTCTTCTGTTCTGGGGTAGAATGAACAATAAGCATGTAAATGGAAGAGCAGAAAGGTCTAGAAGTCTCCTGTATTCTATTCGATACATTCTATCGGGAATTGACAGGCTTTTCTCGGGCTTTGGAGACTACTAATGGAGCTGGTATTCAGGATGGCTTCATATTTTCCCACTGCTCTGTGACTATGCCCTGGGAAAGTGACCATCCCGGCCAGCCTACAAAGTTATAAAATGGTTGAGTTTTAGTTTGTTTCCCGTTCTGGGTATTGGACCCATGGCTTTGGGTATGCTACCCAAGCACTCTACTGTAGCTTGGCTCAATTTTAGCTTTCCCCTTCTCTGTCTTCCTTTGTTTTCCCTTCTTCTTTTCCCAGAGCTCAGGGCTTTCCTGCCACTCCTTCTAGGCCCAGGGTTCCACCGTAAGGCAGGAGCTCCCTCAGGCTCCAGCCCCCTGAGTATGCTCTGTACACAGACTTGTCTCCTACAGCTTAGTTGCCAGCACTCCGCTGTTCTGTTCTTGTAGGACGCTGTTGCCCACTTAGTATTGAGTTCAGAGCCTGGTATACACTAAGCAAATGGTGCACTACTGAGTAATGTTCCCCAACACACCAGCAATTATCTCTTCAATAATGATTATTATCTGAAACAATGCAGTACTTTTCTGATGAGATACATTACTTTTCTGATTTTGATACAAACACAATATAGAATGATAAGCTGGCTTTCTTAAAATTTTTTTTTAAATCACCTGTGCTTCTGTAGGATCGTGTTCATTTTCTTTCTTCTCTCCCTCCTCTTTCTTACTCTGTTTTGTTTTTGTTTTGTTTCTGATTAGGAAAGGTGTGGGAGGAGGATCATACAAAAACTTTTAGCATAAAGTCTTTTAGAAGCATAAGGAAACAATCCCATCACACAGAAGCAAGCGTTACTAAGACTGTCCTGTGAGCCGCCTTTCTACGATGCTTTTACTGTATAAAGTCTATGTGACCCTAGTCAATTGGAATTTGAATCACAGAGTAGTAAGTCGTTCCCTATTGTTTGTGTGTCTCTCTGATCTTCTCTGCCTTCCTCTTTTATATTTTCCTCTCTTGTCCTCTTTTGTGCTTTTCTTTCTCCACTCCTTTCTTTTACCAGCAAACATTAAGTTCCTACTGTGTGCTAAATGCTTTGTACATATGGTATTTCCTTCTAGCAAAAACACTGAGACATGATGACTCAGTGCTAAAAATATTTTTAAAAATATGTATCTTCAAAAC